AGTGAAGTTTTATCCATGTGCCAATGAGGCAGGAGATAGGAGGGAGGAAACTCTGGAGGTGCCCCATGGCTAAGATAAAAGGACATCGATACAGGACAGAGACTTCATTCTAAGATGGGTTATCACTTAATAAATCTGCTCTCTCTCTTTCTGCTATAAATGCCCTTGTGTGTTTGGTTCAATTCTTTGTCTGTGATCACCAAGACCCCAATTACCTGTACCCACCTGCAACACCAGCAGCACAGAAAGGTCAATGCCTGATTACTGAGACTACAGTCGTCCCTCGCTATATCACAGTTCACTTATTGTGGCTTCACTATATCTCGTTTTTGTGTGTGTGTTTTTTAAAATCTAATTCTGTATCATGGAGTTTTTGCTATAACGTGGGATTTTGCGGTACTGTACTTCACTGGTGAGTACCCATATAGAAGTTTATATGTTATTAAAATTACGTAGGTTTAAGAGTGTAGAAAGTGTTTAAGAGCATATGAAGTGTTTATAAGAGTGTGGGAAAGGTTAATAAGAGAGCGGGAAAGGTTTATAGGAGTGTGGGAAGGGTTTATAAAACCTTAACATATATATAGATAATAAAATAAATATAACACCTCTACTTCAAGGATTTTCACCTGTCTCGGGGGTCTCTGGAATGTAACTACTGAGATAGGTGAAGGATCACTATATTTCACTCCCAGATAACTAAGAGTGGGGGTGAGGAGCTGATCAGTGTGTACTACTATCAACATTTCATTCTTTGTAGGCAAGCCTTTCTCCCTGCTATTAACAGATCATTACAGAGGCACCAGAGAAAATAAACTGCTTGTCCTGGAATTAACATTTAAATAGCACTTGATGACTCTAATCAATATCCTCCTCCAGTTATGTTAATTAATCACTGACTGAAACTGATTGCCTAGGCCCAGAAATTATAGTCAATTTCAATTTAAGTTCTTCCACCAATACTACTCTGTCCCTGTCTCCCTTTATTCTTCTGTAAAATAGGTGTAGTGATATTTACAGAAGTATGTATTAATTAGGAAATTCACATAAAGTGGTTTTAAGAGCATGAACAACTATGTCAATGTTGAGTATTTAAGACTGCTTGACAGGTTCATGAATTAGTATACATTGTTATGGCACTTATTGGTCACATGCCTGCTTGTGCTCAGGCTGACTTTATAAAAGGCATAAACCAACACACTCAACAATCACAACCAAGAATGCAACAAAAATCACTGCAGGGCCAAATATCTCTAAAGTCAGAGTCTGGCTTTGCCACCTGATTGCAGAGCAATGAGAATGTCCACGAGCCTCTATAACAGGATGCCGCCAAGAAGGGGGGGTCCAAATAGAGATTTGGAATGGGGCCCAGTACTCAGAGTGTCCAGGAAATATTAGAAAGACATGTAAAATGTCCTTACTCCTTCCCCCTTCAGGTGTGGGTTGGGGGAAGGGACAAATGGAGCAGGGCCATTGAGAGCTGTTTTGCATAGCAACAGCTTTGCAGCTAACCTCTGGTGTGGTCATTTAACATGTCTATAACCTTTAACTGGTTGCATAGGTATGTTAAATAGCTCTGGCCATGCTCTGAGCCAGGGGAATGGAAGTCAATTCCCCACCAAGGCGTAACTGGGGGGTAGGTCCCCTGAGTTATAGCACCTGCGTGGGAGCTTGGAGAAGACAGGCTCCATGACATGGGGCCACACCTGCCCAGACTCACGATGGCAGCCCAGTAAAGCTGGGAGTGTATGAGAGTACTGCCAAGTATAGCCAATTGTGGGAGAAGTCAGAAATGGGGCTGCAGAGGAGGACTGGTGTGGGGATTTAAACCCAGACACAGCAGCTATTAGAAGGAGAACCATGCCGTATTGGCATAGTGGAGACTCCCGCAGCCATTGTGCAGACAGGACCATGTGGCTGTGGCAGTGCAGAGAGAGGACCACTCGGCTGTGGCATTGCAGAGAACCATGCAGCTATGGCAATAGAAAGGAGAACCACGCGGCTTTGCCAGAGTGGGGACCCCTGCAGCTTTACAAGGAGGAACCACCACCCGGCTTTAGCGGAGATCCCAGTGACACAGCTGATGGTGCCGGGAACCAAGGGAGGCCTCTCAGCCAGCACAGATTACTGGGAAGAACTGGGGGCTTCCTGAGCCATGGACTTCTATTTCTTTTCCTGAGATATGGTACCCCAGACTGGGCAAAGGGGAGAAGGAAGGACTGTGTGTGTTTGTGGGTGTTTTAAGGGACTTTGATGAAGACATTAGGTCACTACTTTACATTTGTACAGCATTAAATAAACATTTCCTTTCCTTTTCACGAATCTCTGGCATTGAGAGATGTCTTTCATATAAGGTAGCGGACATAACGAACTTGGGGGGTTCCTTTTGGTAATAGTATATCGCCCTTGGTCCCCCTTTGTGTTCTGTAACACCTCTCCATTTCTCTATTTCCTATAAATAAGAAAGATGCACTCTCATGGATATTGGGACAACTGAGATAATGTGAAAGTGTGTTAAGAATTACATAGTATAATACTCGTATTTAACTTCAGATTCATTAGGCAGACAAAGGAAACAATACTGACCCAATAAGTTGGGGTAGTCTTGTTACAGGGTGCAGCCAAGAGGGGGGACCCCAAATGGGCATTTGAAATGGGGTCCAGAACTTAAGGTGTCCAGGAGATTTAAGATGTCTCCAACCCCCCACCCAGGGTGTGGGTTGAGGGAAGGGACAAATGGAGCAAGGCCATTGAGATCTGTTTTGCATAGCAACAGCCTTGCAGCTACCCTCTGGCATGGTCATTTAACATATCTATAGCCTTTGGCTGGTTGTATGGATATGTTAAATAGCTGTGATCATCTCTGAGCCAGGGGAATGGAAGTAACTTCCCCACCAACACGTGACTGGGGGCAGATCCCCCAAGCTACAGCGCCTGCGTGGGAGCTCGGAGAAGATTGGCTCCAGGACATGGGGCCACACCTGCCCAGACTCATGATGGCAGCCCAGTAAAGCTGGAAGGATATGAATTCTGGCAAGTGAAGCCAAGTGTGGGAGGAGCCGGAAATGAGGCTGCAGAGGAAGATTGGCCGCGGGGATTTAAAACCCAGACTTGGCGGCTATTAGAGAGAGAACCACGCGGCTTTGGCAGAGTGGGGACCCCCACAGCTTTAGAAGGGGAACCACTACCTGGTTTTAGCAGAGATCCCGGTGACTCAGCGGAGGGTGCCGGGAACCCAGGGAGGTCTCCCAGTCGAGATGGAGGACTAACTAAGGACCAGAGGACTGTCTGAGCCATGGACTTCGTTTTCCCTTCCTGAGTTACGGTACTCTGGACTGGGCAAAGGGGGAAGGAAGGAAGGACTGTGTCTGTTTGTGGGTGTTTTAAGGGACCTTGGGATTTTTGATAAAGACATTAGGTCACTACTTTAAGTTTGTATAGCATTAAATAAACATTTCCTTTCCTTTTCACGAATCTCTGGCATTAAGAGACGTCTTTCCTGGGGCGGTGGACATAACGGACCCCGGGCCTTCTTTCAATAATAGTATATTGTCCCAGGCCCCCCCCTGTTGTGTTCTGTAACAGTCTCAGTTTGAGTTTTCACTTTAGAATATATTCATTATGAGAATCAAAATAAACCAGCTTACTTCTCTGGAATTTTATCACCTCTCAAAAGGTAAAGGAACATAAAACTGTCTGAAGATCACCCCGTCGTGGTACACATTAACAAAGTGATTCTGTATCATTCTATGATTAATAAGTGAAACAATTATAAACATTCTCTAAAACAGGGTTATTAAAAAGTTTAATAGTAAGGACTTAATGAACTTATCTAAACTTTAGGAACAATGTCAGCAAATGTAGATGTGATCTTTATAATGGTAATAGTCCAGAAGTTTCTTTATAGCAAAGAGCATGTGAACAGGAGAGCAAGCAGCAGCTTTCAGCTTCTTTCTCCATTTTTTCTTTACGAGAAATAGAAATTTGATCTTCAGAAATTAGTTTTGTCCTAAGCATGAAAAAATGACTTTGATAGGGTTCTCTTAGTAGAGATAATGCAAATTAGGATATAACTGGAAAATAATCATTTAAAATATTTAGGCTTCTAACGTTCCAGAGAGAAGAACATCATATTTCATCACAGTCTAGGAAGTGTTTGGACACTCTTTTTCCATACTATATGTGTATACACAATGTATATAAACAGCCAAAGACTCTGGTTACTTAGAGAGTAGCAAATTTATCTAGTGTTTGGTTAGAATGACTAAAGGCCAATAGCATGCCTGACAATCACAGACAAATCAGCTATTATAGCTTAGTTAAGGGATCAGCAAACTTTTTCTGTTATGGGACAAAAAGTAAATATTTTAGGCTTTACAGGCATATGGTATCTGTTGCAACTACCCAGTTCTGTTGATATAATGAAAAAGAAGCCACAGACAGCATGTGTGGCTGTTTGAAAAGAATCAGTGTGGCTGTTTTCCAATATGGCAGGTTGGACTTGGCCTGCAATCCATAGTTTGCCAAACATGGAATGGATTTGAGGGCTCTGAGGATTGACTCCTTGAATATTGAGAATTCAGCTTAGTTCTAAGGACTAAGAATATCAAAAGGTCTTGGAAAGGTAAAGGAAGGCTTATACAGATGAACAGCATTCCTAAGGGAACAAAATTGTGCCAAATGTAATTTGCCTGTCCAAAACAGAAACTGACTGAGGTTTGGACACAAATCCAGCCATGTGAGGCATAACTGGATGCCTGAGATGTTTCTGGGAGTCCTTACATTGTATCCAGAAGTACACGATGGGGTGGGTCTTGGCTAATTAAGAACACAATGTTGAGAGCTGGTAGAATTAGAAAGGCTAGCCAAAGTTCAAGAGGCCATTCAGACGATAAATAATATCCTTAACTTTGGCCGGGAGTGTTAAAAAAGTTACTTTGGGCGCATTATAGTTATTGTCTTAGTCACTAAGTTTTCTAACCAATTAAAAAAAATTTTAACCAGTGCTCGCTTCAGCAGCACATATACTAAAATCAGAACAATACAGAGAAGATTAGCACAGCCCCTGAGCAAAGATGATATGCAAATTCCTGAGGTATTCCATATTTTTTCAACAAAACAAACAAATAAGCAAAATATAACTAAAGACACTGAAATTGAGAACAGGCTGACAGTGACCAGAGGACAGAGAATTTCAGGGGAAAAGGGTGAAGGGTTTGCAGGAACAATTATAAAGGACATATGGACAACAACAGGGTAGGAGGTGGAAATGGGAGGGAGGTGGGGAAGGCTGGGGGGTTGGGGTGGGGGGCAAAGGCAGAAAACTGTACCTCAACAACAATAAAAAAATTTTAACTGCATTTTTAAGGATATGTATGTGCTTGGCAAAAGATATTGGCTGCCAATTATAAAATAAATATGATTTTAGTCAACAATCTAGAGTTCACCACCACAATTTACTGGAAGGACTACTAAATAGTATATACTTCAGGGAAAAGTAACTGCATCCGGAAGGGAGGGGTGATATGAAGAAGAAATGGTAAAAGAAGTAATAAACATATGAATAAATCTAAAATAAAAAAGGATGATGCAATGGGAACTAACTGAGGGTGGGAAGAGTTTCCTAAGATAGGATAGTAAGCGAGGAATTTTCTGAGGGGGTAACATTTAAACAAATAGCTAAAAGGACTGGGCGAGGTGGCAGCTGGTGGAGTGGGTAGTCCCACATTTGCATGCAGATAAATCAGGAGGAATAACTGGGGAGCGAGACAGACCGTGCAACCCAAGATTCCAGAGTGTGGAAATAAGGCCTCAAAACCTGACTGAAAAAACCTGTGGGGTTGAGGTGGTGGGAGAAACTCCCAGCCTCACAAGAGAGTTTGTTGGAGAGACCCACATGGTTCTAGAACATCTACAAAACTATCCATCTGGGAACCAGCACCAAAGGGCCCAATTATCTTGTGGGTAATAGAGGAAGTGACTAGAAGCCAGCCAGGAGCTGAACAAGCCACACTTTCCCCCCTAGGACCACTCCCCCATACACACGGCAATGCGTGTGTTGTCTCACCCTGGTGAATACCAAAGGCTCTGCCTCTTTCTACGTAACAGGTGTGCCCAGACAAAAAAAAAAAAAAAAAGCCTAAATGAAAGAACAGATCAAAGCTTCAGAAAAAATACAACTAAGCGACGAAGAGATAGCCAGCCTATCAGATGCACAGTTCAAAACACTGGTAATCAGGATGTTCACAGAATTGATTGAGTATGGTCACAAAATAGAGGATAAAGTGAAGGCTGTGAAAAATGAAATAAAGGAAAATGTACAGGGAACAAACAATGACAGGAAAGAAACTGAAGCTCAAATCAATGGTTTGGACCAGAAGGAAGAAATAAACATTCAACCAGAACAGAATGAAGAAACAAGAATGAAGAAACAAGAAACAAAAAAAAAATGAGGAGAGGCTTAGGAACCTCTGGGACAGCTTTAAACGTTCTAACATCTGAATCACTGAGGTGCCAGAAGAGGAAAAGCAAGAAGTTGAAAACTTATTTGAACAAATAATAAAGGAGAACTTCCCCAATCTGGCAAAGGAAACAGACCTCTGAGAAGTCCAGGAAGCCCAGAGAGTCCCAAAGAAGTTGGACCCAAGGAAGCACACACCAAGGCACATCATATTTACTTTAGCCAAGACTAAAGATAAGGAGACAATCCTAAAAGCAGCAGGAGAAAAGGAGACACTTACCTACAAAGGAGTGCCCATAAGACTATCAACTGATTTCTCAAAAAGAAAAAAAAAAACCTTGCAGACAAGAAAGGGCTGGAAAGAAGTATTCCAAGTCATGAAAGGCAAGGACCTACATCCCAGATTGCTCTATCCAGCAAAGCTTTCATTTAGAATGGAAGGGCAGATAAAGTGCTTCCCAGATAAGGTCAAGTTAAAAGAGTTCATCATCACCAAGCTCTTATTATATGAAATGTTAAAGGGGCTTACCTAAGAAAAAGAGGGAGATCAAGAATATGAAATGTAAGGTGACAACAGCTCACAACTACAAGCAATCGAACATAAAAAAACAAAAACAAAAACAGGAACAAACTGGGCAAAGGACTGGAGTGGGAGTGGAGTCACAGAGGTGAAGATCATATGGAGAGTTGTCAGTGGGGAGGGAGAGGGGGCAATGGGATGGGAGGTGTAGAAGCCAAATAACTTGTATGTGCTACCCATGGACATGAACTAAAGCGGGGAATATGGGTGGGATGGGGTGTGCAAGGTGGAGGGGAGTAAGGGGTGGGAAGTGGGACAGTTACGATAGTGTAATCAATAAAATATATTAAAAAAAAAGAAATATCGAGGCTTAAGGAGGATCTACATAATGCCAATGACTGTGATGTCAAAAATTTGAAGCAGGAAACTAGTTTCCTAACCTAAAACGGAGACAGCAGCATGTCTCAAGAAACAGACTCTTGCACACTTTTAACCTCTGAGATGTCAGATACCATGGTGTGCCACTCTGCATCGAATGTAGACCTGGCATTCAGTGAACAGGACGGAGAACATAATGGAACACTTGACAACAAATCCAGTGCTGGAAATTTTGTGAATCTACTTCATCCAAAAAATACAGAGAAGCTCCAAGTGAACACTGCTGATCTTGCAAATGCAAGTTGGGTGCATAAACATTTCACTGAAGATATTCAAATATGGCAGTATTGGCTTCTTAGAAGTTCTAATAAGACCTGGCTGACCCCTGCTGACTGACATCTGGGGCATGGCATGCATGGCCTTTGAACTGGCCACAGGTGACTATTTGTTTGAACCTTATTCAGGGGAAGAGTACACTCAAGATGAAGACACATTGCATTGATCATAGAACTTGTGGGGAAGGTGTCTTATAAGCTCACTGTGGCAGGAAAATATTCCAAGGAGTTTTTCACCAAAAAAGGTCACCTCAAACACACCAGGAAGCTGAAATCCTGAGGCCTTTTTGAGGTTCTAGTGGAAAAGGATGAGTGGTCTCAGGAAGAGGCATCTACCGGATTTTTACTGCCTCTGTTGGAGCTGATCCTCAAGAAGGCAACCACTGCCTCTGCTTGTCTCCAGTACCCCTAGTTCAACTCCTAAGCCCCAGCACTAGGCAGCAGAGATCAAGTGCTGAGCCTCCACCCTTCCACCTCACCCCTTCAAGCATTTCTCCCTTTCCTTTTCAGGATGAAGCTCTTCCTTCAAGGGTTTCTAGGGTTTGTTTGCTTGTTTTTTAATCTACCACGTTCACCTGGGTCTGCTCACTTGACCTTGTGGAGATTCCCCCACAGTCACTGGGCATCCTAGGTAAATCTGGCCTTCATTGGGCTTTGCCAAAGACTAATGGACTAAAATGTGGAACAGCCTCTTGCCCTGTACCCTGTCTTTCTATTAGGACATCCTTTAAATCATAAGCAGCCATTTTAAAAAGAGCAATGAAGATGTATAAGCTCACCCTTTTAATCACTGACTCTAAGGGTTAAATTTTCTAGTGCATATCCTACTGCCAGCATAAGGATGAGAAGGGAGAAGGGGGTTACTTTTCTGCACAGCATAGATATTTAAACATGCTGTATCTGGGCTGCATCATTGTCCTGGATTGTTTCTGTTCTCTATGTTCATGTTTTTTTTCTGTGACTTTTAAGCTATTATCTTCTTTTAAACAAGCTGTCTAAACACCAAATTTGGGTACCATTTTATCACTGTTCAAAACACTGTCATGTTCTTTTCATCCTTTAATAACGCCAAGAGTCTTGAAACTTCACTCTGATTTTTGATAGAAACAAAAACAGAACCACTGACTAGTAATTTCTTCAGAACCACAAATGTTTCACAAACACTCCTTTCTTATGTGTCCCTATTACCCTAACAGCAGAGTTATTTTGATTGGCTCTTTTGGGTTTTTTGGCTTTTTTTTTTTAATCCCTGGCTAGCACTTGACTCATTTCACTTGTGTTTACTGCCTCATAACTAAAGGATTCAAGATGACAGCCCTGACTGGTGTACCTACGTGGATTGAGCGCAGGCCTGTGAACCAAAGCATCACCGGTTTGATTCCCAAGTCAAGGCACATGCCTGGGTTGCAGGCCATATCCCCATTATGGGGTGTGCTAGAGGCAACCACACATTGATATTTCTCTCCCTCTCTTTCTACCACCCTTCTCCATCTCTCTAAAATAAAAAAAAAATAAAATCTTTAAAAAAATCGTTTTGAGTACATAAAATGTTCACAATGATTTAAAAAAAAAAAGAAAAGAAAGAATTCAAGATGACTCCAGAAAGGAGATCTGGACTTCTAAGATTTCTCATCTAAGAAAAAAAATGCCCTAGAGTTGTTGATTTTTTCTGTAACAGTCCCCAACTTTTATTTACAGCTTTTACTCTGCCTTCCAAAATTTAGCTTTGAAGCGGTTTCCCTTTGTGGCTTTGCCTTTTTCATTTTCTCAAAGGCTTTAGGTCTTAAATGAAATTCAGGATAAAAGTAGCAAGAGGAGAAATGGGATGGCACTTTTTTCATTATTTTGAGGGGGGTATTGGTTCATTGTTTTTGGTTGGTACATTTAAGATTAGCCATTCTCTGCTGCTATATGCTTGTATAATGGAAGTTTTTAACTGCAATTCTGAGATGATTGAGATGTACTTGAAGCTTTTCTTTTTCTTCTTTTTTTTAAATGAGAAAATTCTTTATGAATTTTATCTTAGGATGAGTCTCTCTCAGACTTGCCCTAGGCTACATATTTCTTCAGTTACATTGAAAAGCAAAAGGGGCATGACAGGTCACAGCCTCTTGTTCAGCTAGGACCAAGCGGGCCTTGGAAACATACACACAGAAAGAAGGCAAGGGTCATCTTCCCACATGTCCAATAGCTGCCACCATTATGTGCAGAACCTTCCTCCACAAAATGAAACCTTAATCTGTTTTAGGCTGAAGAAATCTACTGGCTCCGTCCTGACAACTCCCTGAGACGCTGCCCCACCTCAGAGGTACGCATGCCCCAGGAAGCTGGCAGCTACCGTGGTGTACCCGGAGACTTTTGTTGAGTGGCCTCAGATCTAGCACTGGAGCTGAGTTTGGATCTGTATTCACATGGTA